TCCATGAACTTCCTTCACAACAAACCACATCAGTTCTACCCTTCTATTTGCACTTCAAATGCAATGGAAAAGAGAAGTAGTTTGTGTTCTAGTGTTTGCAGCACTGATCCTAATGTTTACTCCAATTGTATATGATGAGTTTGTTGGTGTAGACCAAGTGGATTTCCCTGTCTCCTTCCTCCAACCCCTACATATAACCTGGCTCTGAGATTCCAATGCTAGCTACTGTGATGGCTAATTTTATGTGTCAATGTGGGTAGGCTCTGGTGCCAAGATATTAATCAAACACTATTCTAGATGTTTCTGTGAAGCTGTGTTTTTGAGAGGGTTAAATACCTAGACTTTGAGTAAAGTTGTTGCCCTCCATAAATGTAATGAGTCTCATTTGACCAGTTTCAACTTTTAAGAAAAAGACTGCCCTCAAGAGAATGAGCATTCTACCCCTAGGATGCTTTTGGATTTGAACTACAACTCTTTCTTGGGTTTCCAGCTGACTGGCCTACACTGGAGATTTTGAATTTACCAGTCTCTAGAATCATGTGAGCCAATTCCTTAAGATGGATCTATCTATCTATCTACCTACCTACCTATGTATCTGTTGATTCACATTAATTCCCTATTTCCTGGAGAGCCCTGGCTAAAGAGAGCAGAGGGAAATTTTTCAAAGCCAGTGTGGAAGTACTGTTACTGGGAAGAAAGAAAAAAGATGTAGGATAAGCAGTCATGAATGTCTACTGCAGTTGAGAATTATTAAAATCTATTTACTGCTATTTAGTAAAGACAGTTTGGTTGACAACAATTTTTTAAAATATTAGATCCATGGGGGAAAAGAAAAAAAACCAGTCTTGTTGTGAAAAAGGTGTTGAAGTTTTTTTTTTTTTCCCTCTCTTAAGATCAATGTATGCACATATGAATAAATGAATAAAGAAAAGAAAAGAAAAAAGATTTTATGTAGTTAGATATGTGTTTGAATTATATTCAGGGATAAACATATCTTTTAGAGTAGAAAAAAATGAGCTTTAATTTATATGGTAGAGTTTGAGTAAAATCAGCATGGTTGTCCAAAACATCTTCCCACAGCTGATAGAGTACTGAAATTCTATTATTAAAATTCATTTCTTTGCCAGTGAAGGCCTGGGGACCCTTAAGAATGTATTAGTAAAATAAAAATTACCTTTAGAAATGCCCTTTAGTTTCCATAAAATATCAGCATTCAGGAGGCATTCAATAGATGTTCTCCAGAGGATTTCATAGACAAAGGGAATTTGAGAACTGTCATTATTTCTTCTTAGATATTTATAAGGCACATTAGCATACTAAAACCTCCAAAAAGTCCTGGGTTAAAAGACTTGTTTAAACTAACCCAGAATTTCCTAAACTCTTTTCATTTGACAAGAAGCCACATTTCTCCCCAAAAGCACCTCTACCCATCTCATTGAACTCAAGATGTGTGGGTGTGCACAGAAAAATCCTGGCATTGGGAGCAAGAATGTCTAAGTTCAGTTTCTGACTCTGTTATTTATTAACTAACCAACTTTGCCAATGCCTCTTAAAGTGTTTTGGGCTACAATTCTTTATTTGTAAGGTAAAGTAAGCTCAATAATCACTCACCTAGCCATAATGACACATATTTAGTAAGAAGGGGCTTATAATTCATACTCAAGAAATGTTGATTTTGCCAATTGTTCTCTTTCTTTCTCTCTCTTCTCTCTCTTCTTTCTTCTCTTCAGTCCATTTTCCATCCCTCTTTTCTTGGTATTTTTAAATTTTAAACAATTTTTTTAAATTTTAGAATAGTTCTAGATTTACAGAGAAGTTGCAAAGATAATATATAAGGTTTGCCATGTTTATTGCAGCACTATTCAAATAGCCAAGTTATGGAAACAGCCAAGATGTCCCACTACTGATGAATGGATTAAGAAAAATGTGGTATTTATATACAATGGAATTTTATGCAGCCATGAAGAAGAATGAAATGTTATCATTCGGTGGTAAATGGATAGAATTGGAGAACATCATTCTGAGTGAGGTTAGCCTGGCCCAAAAGACCAAAAATCGTATGTTCTCCTTCATATGCAGACATTAGATCAAGGGCAAACACAACAAGGGGATTGGACTTTGATCACATGATAAAGCGAGAGCACACAAGGGAGGTATGAGGGTAGGTAAGACACCTCAAAAACTAGATAACATTTGTTGCCCTCAATGCAGAGAAACTAAAACAGATACTTTAAAGCAACTGAGGCCAATAGGAGAAGAGGACCAGGAACTAGAGAAAAGGTTAGTTTAAGAAGAATTAACTTAGAAGGTAACACACATGCACAGAAATCAATACGAGTCAACTCCCTATATAGCTATCCTTATCTCAACTAGCAAAAACCCTTGTTCCTTCCTATTATTGCTTTTACTCTCTCTTCAACAAAATTAGAAATAAGGGCAGAATAGTTTCTGCCAGGTAGTGAAGGGTAAGGGAGGACAGGGAGGGGCTGGGGGGAGGGGTAAGGGAAGGGGTGGGAGAAGAGGGGAGAAATGACCCAAACATTGTATGCACATATGAATAAAATAAAAATTTTAAATATATATATATAGGGTTTGCATGAACCATCTTCCCTCCTGTACTCACTTCTCTTTGTGTCTGTTACATGACCAGACTGTGAGCAAGATGGACACAGTGAGGGGCTTCTTCATGGCACTACCCGTGTATTGGAAGGTGAGGCAGAAACAAGCAAATCAGTAACTACAAGACTGGGTGGTAAGTGCAGAGACAGATGCAAAACAGAGTGAGTGAAATTCAGGAATGCAACCTAACCCAGATTTGGGGGCCTGCACAGGCTTCCAGAAGAAAATATCAAAGAAAATGCCTGAAGGATGAAGAGTGAGTAGGTGCAGGGTGGGGTGCTTAATGAGATAAGTCCAGTTGGAGAGGAAAAGAAGTGAAAATGCAAGGTGAGCACTTAATGGAGGTTGCTAAGAAATACCCAGACAGCTTTGGTGAAGACTTCAGACTGCTTCCAGGCTCAGGCTCATTAATGATGTCTTTTTAAAATTTTTATTTTTTTAATAGGATATATTCGTTGTAAGGTGGAATCATAGTGACAATTCTGATTAGGCTTATATTGCATATTGCTTAGATCACCCCCATGCTCTCTCCCCCTCAACCTCCTCCCTGCCCCCACTTAAAGCAATTGCAGGAGGTTTTTTGCTCCATTTCATATGAATGTATGAAGTCCATCAATCATATATCCTCACCCTCCCTTTCCCAATAGTACCCTCCCCCACACACTGTACCTATTTTACAGTCTTGGCTTTCATTAATAATATTTAAGTCAGATGTTCAAAGGGGTTTCTCAGTGTATCCCTGCTTTGAGTATATTTTAATTTAGGTCAGTTCAACTCTTCCATTACTCTCCCTTACCTCTTTACCTCCCACCCCTATTTTTCAACGGCTTTCAGTACACATCCTTATATCTTCTACCTTCACAGATGGTAAGTTTTACAATATTACTGATGCTATTTCTCTTTTCCTCTCCCTCTTTCCCCGAATTCCATAGTAGTTCCACTATTACAAACATGTTCCACATAGTGAGTTTCTATATAATCATGCTTGTTTTTGTGCATATGTTCATCTTTTGTATTTGTCTTCCACCTATGACTAAAAGTATGCTGTCTTTGTCTTTCTGAGCCTGGCTGACTTTGCTTAACATGATGTCTTCCAATTGCATCTATTTACCTTCAAACCACATGTCATTATGTGGTTGAGTAAAACTCAATGGCTGAGTAATACTCCATTGTGTATATATACATTTTCTTGATCCTTTAATTAGTTGTAAGACATCTGGGTTGTTTCTGTAGCTTGGATGTTGTGAATAGGGTTGCGATGAACATCAGTGTACAGGTGTGTCTATTGTATCCTGATTTAACGTTTCTTTGGGTAGATGTCCAGGAGGTGTATCACTGGATCATATGGCAGTTCTATCTTTAGCTTTTTAAGGAATCTCCATACTACTTTCCATAATGGTTGTACTAATTTGCATTCCCACCAACAGTGTCTAAGGATTCCTGCTTCAATGCATCCTCTGAGCATTTGTTGTTGTTATTGCCCTAGATTAATTAATTATGTCTTATACAAGCTTCTCTTCTGTAACATTCAGGCAAAACTATCTCAAGAGCTATTTACCTTTCCAAAACCAATAGCAATTTTTAGCACTGTTAACCATACCACTAAAGAATTACAAGATTTTTTTTTTTTAAAGAAAATCAGTCAGGAAACAATGAGTAATGAAGGAGAGGAAGTAATTGTGAATCTTAATTCAGCTGGGGCTGTGTGATTCCTTCTGTTGAGAAATACAGCCTCCCTCTTCAGAATCCCACAACGCAGTATCTGTACTTTTGCATATGATAATTGCCAATGCAGACACTATTCATGGCTCCAGTGAACCTCTGGTTGTAGACACAAACGCAGGAGCTAAATTGAAGTGCTGGTGGTCTGTGATTGTTCCAAGCAACTAGCCAAGGTTTCTGAACTCAGGCAGGATCTCACCGTTCTGACCTCCAGATCAGATTCAAGTCCTCCCCAACCTTTCCAGGTTGAACCACAGCAGACGTAGAGGAAGCACAGTAATCTGGCTCTCAAGGTCCTCACCTGTACTGAGCTTGCCAGCTCCGCTAAAACGTTCCAGGTTGGGGAATGCCCATTTGTGCAACAAACCCTGACTCTTTCCTCCACACGGGCTTTCCCCTCTCTCCTCCCATTCACCACCTCGGGCTGAATCTTTGGGGTTCTCCTCCCCTCCCCCATCCCCGGGCATCCCCCAGAGACGCTTCCTCCAGGGGCTTTTCTTTAGGTGTGTCTGCACACACAGGTATTCAAAGACTCTTCTGGGGAAAGAGAGGAAAGCTATTGAACGCATAACTTTGTGGGATCGCTGAGGGCGGGCCCTCGCAAAAGACACACCCAGAGGCCAGCGGGAGCGCTAGGTGGGGCGGGCGGGACTGTCACTTCGGCTGGGTGGGTGACTCAATCGGCTGTGAATTGAAGAGGATCTTCCACCTCGGCGGATTGCTCCGCAGCCATGCTCAGGACCTGGGCTGTCCTGCCTCTGGTGAGCCCTGTACCGCCCTAGAAGGGCTTCTCTCTGCCTGGCCCGGGGCGGGCGCGGCGGGGTAGGCGCGCGACGAGCTCCGGGGTTGCGGACCACGGATGAGCGCGTGGGAAGCGGGGCGCGGCGGGTCCGCTGTGGCGCGATGTGACACACCAACTCCGGGGGCTGCTAGGACTTTCCCTTCCGCCTGGATGCTCTGGAAGCCGGGTGACTACTTTTTGGGGGGCTGCATGAGAAGTGCTGACCCCGCGAGGCAGGTGGGGCAGCGCCAGAGCTTTGGGGAGACGACTGTGCCCGACGAAGAGAAGAGGTGTGTGGGGAGCGGCCAGAGATTGGCAGAGTCCAGGGTGGCTTTGGGGCAGGTGGAGGGGGACTCCAGGGGAGAGAGGAGGGGATCTTCAGTACTTGTCCTTACATGTCAAGTCAAAGTTCCGCTTTGCTGTGGGTGAGGGTGATCGCCAGGGGAGTGAGGAACCTCAGGTCTTTGGAACAGACACCGCTTTTTTTTTGTCCTGACAGTTCCCAAACTTAGGAGTAAGTCCGCTCTAGGCAGCTGAGGCTTCGGAAGGAACCGTTTCTTTTTTGAGAAAGTTATCTTGGGCCAAATGCGCCTCTGTCTTGTTTACCTTCTTACCGCCGCATAGAAAAAGAAACTATTTTACTTCCCTTCCGGGAATTCCTCTCCTTAAGGCTGCAAGTCGCTGCTGCCTCAGTGGGTTTTTGGTTGTGTTGCTCTGCTCTTCTTTTTGCCTCTCTTACCCTTTCTCAGTTTGCTCTCACCGGAGACTGAATTTTGGCCTGGGCGCCAGCAGTGACTTCTGCTTCCACAGCACACCCACTCTGGCACCTGCACTTGGCCACAGGCTCCAGTGGCATCTTTTGGAGAGTCTCTCTCTCAGAAATGCCAGCTTGATGATGACTAATCAAAAGAACTGGGCCCTAAGAAGTTCATTTGAGTTTTGAGATTGAATGGATTCTTTTCTTGGGCCCCAATGAAGTCCTAGGCACAGTGATAGGTGTGTTTAAAAATGTGATCTCAAGTCAGTTCTCACAGTGGCGGTGTAGGGAGGAAGACATCCTCTTCATTTCATAGGGGCAAAATGTGCTTCAGAGAGTTTAAGTACTTCAGCTGATCACACAGCTAGTAAAGCAGCATGGTTGGGCTGGAACCCAAATCTAATTCCAAGGCCCAATTTTCTGGTTGCTCCTGATTTCCGGAATAGGCTGGGATGCCTGGGACAGTTTCATGACTTAGAAAAAAAAAAAATTCCAGGGTTCTTTCAGAAATATTGTGCAATATTGGACTCCTTTAGAAATTTCTTTAGGGGAAAATTTAAGAACAATATTGAGAAATTACCTCTACAACCTCAGCACACTCTTCCTTCTTGTTGACCTCTCTATTATTGCAGGGTGAGACAGCAGTGTTAGTGAAGTGTAACAAAATTGTTAAGGCCAGTAGTTGTGCAGTGTTTAACTTCTGTATCTTTTCTGGAGAATACCTATTTAAAAGCACCAAGGAAACTGATTTTCTAAAAGTATGCCACACAGGCATGCAAAGATGTACACATGCATGTATTTTATATATATATATGTATATACACACACATACATATTATATAATATTAAGAAATAAGATTTAGTGTATTAATTTTTGCTACATGGCCTAGGAAATGACCATTTATTAATTAATGTTATAAATGCAGATGAGTGCAATTTAAAAATCAGATACAATCTTCTCACCTGGATAATTATTGTTTGCATTTTGCAATATGTCTTCCATTTTTTCCCCCTCTCAAATAACTTTTAAATTTAGTTACACAGACCCAGCCTTGTGCCAACCACTTGCCCAACAGCATGCCTCTGTTTTTCAAGAAATTTCCCTGGTGGAGTGGCTCAAGTAGTAAAGCGCCTGCTTAGCAAGCTTGAGGCTCTGAGTTCAAGTCCCAGTGCCATAAATAAATAAACAGATAAATAAGTACATAAAAATTTTAAATATATAAAATTTGTGGAGGTGTGCCTCAGTGGTATAGCAATAGCACAAGCCTAGTAACTGTAAAGCCCTGAGATCAAACCCTGGTACTGCAAAAAAAAAAAAAAAAGAGATTTCCACATTGTTGTGTCCCATTCTGTGTCTTGGAAATGCTTGCTTTTATGCCTCCCCACTTAATATTGCTTCTTCAGTAGGAGCAATAAATAAAATGAAGGCAGACTGTGAGTTACCTGGAACACAGAAGCAAATTTTGTTTATGTTAATTATGTTGGAGTATATGCAAGGGATGCTGCTTTATTTTCTCTCTCTTCCTTAGTCCTCTTGTCTCTCGTACTACTATAGATAAAGCAAATATCTCTTTTTCTTTGCCTCTCTTCCCTTTCTCTACCTTCTTGTAGCTAATTTCTAGGTTTTTTCTCCCCTATTTTCTTGATATTTTTTCCATGGCACTTAAGTTTGAAGTTCCAAAATAGTCACAGATTTTTAAAGAAGACTGAAAAAGAGTCAAATTTAATTTACATTTTTTTGAGAAATACCTGTGTATATTTCTGGGTTTTTTTTTTGTTTGTTTGTTTGTGTGTTTGTTTGCTGTTGTTGTTGTTATGTGTTTGCTTTGTTAATAGTGCATGATCTTTACAACTTTTATCTTGTACTATTCAAAAATATGGCCAATTACTAGGCAGACAGTTTCCTCTCTCCTATTTCTTGGAACAACTGTTTCAAAATTATGGTTGGAGAGAAGGAGAGGTTATTTGGGAAAGAAATTGTATTTACAATTGCATTTGCGATTATAAAGAATGGTTTGGAGATGTAGATAAGGAACCAGTGCTTACTTTATAATTTAATCATTTTCTTTAAAACACTAGAAGTATAACACAGATTATAATGTTTGTATTTATTTATGTTATTATTATTACGTATTTATTTATTTATTTTTGTCCGTACTAGGATTTGAGCTCAGGGCTTTGTGTGTGCTTGCTAGGTAGGTACTCTACAGTTTGAGCCATGCCTCCAGCCCTTTTTGCTCTGGATATTGTGGACAGAGGGTCTTGCCTTTTCCCCAGACCCGCCCAGATCCCTATCCTCCTGTTTTACACTTCCTGCCCTCACTGGGATGACAGGCGTGTGCCGCTGCACTTGACTTTTTCCCATTGAGATGGGGGTCTCCAAAGTTGTTAACCTAGGCTGACCTGAAACATGGATCCTCCAGATCTCAGCCTCCCAAGTAGCTAGGATTACAGGCCTGAGCCACCAGTGTCTGGCTATAGACTTGAAAAGTTTTCTCAATGCAATGTAATGATGAAATAAAAATGTTAACAACCAAGATGGGAAAACATAATGTTTCTAAATGATGGCAAGACTGGGAGGCAAAATTTAAATTGATATTTGCAGACCCCATCAAGGCCCTCATTACTAGCTATAGTTGGACAAATGAGAAGTCCTCTACTTCCCATGCCTGAGATACACAGAAAACAATTTTATTTACTGCACTGAGCTTAGAGGGAGAAAAGGTGAAACAGAAGCAAAGAACCAGTATTTAGATACTGCCTCTGAGTAAGACTCTTTGGAACCGTGGAAGAGTAATTTACTCCTAAATAGTCTTAGCGTGGAAGTGTTAATATTTCAAGGAATCTCTCTGAAGGCTGTATGGGGATGTTTTAAGGGGAAGCTGACCACCATACCACAACTGTCAGTTGGAGAGAATCTCTGTTTTCTGAGGTAATCAGAAACTTGAGTAAGGAAATTCCCCCCTTGAAAGCCCCTTCTAACTTAAGTGATTTTGGTGAATTATCTTGGGTTCCAAAAGTCCCTTCCTGAGCACATGTTTTATAATAGGTACTAAAGACTGCTTACTTATAATAAAAAGTAATAAAAGGACATAACAAAACTTGATCCAAATTTAGAACAGTAAATCCATTTCTTTCCTTTTTTTTAAAGTAGGTAATTACTGAAAAATTAACCTGATGAAGTGAAACAAAAATTATTGAAAAAAATAAAGTCACTCAATATTTTTATCATTATTTTAGTTGTGGCCTTCTACCCCTCTCTATACCTATACATAATTGCATGTTTGATCAGTGCTATTTATACTCTACTTTTTGTCATTTTGCAAGTATTACAAACCTGTTTATGTTGCTATGTAATTTCCATCTTACAAGTTTTGTTTGATGTATTATAGAGAAGGCATTTACTAAATTAACTGAGATTAACATAATTTTAGTTGTATTTAATTTTTATTACTATCTTTATAATATACTGCTGTATATCTGTATACACATATTCATGTACATAATCTTTTCTTATTATGAAAATCATTTGTAGTACTATTGTATAAGTACTTTAGGGTACATTTTCCTATTCTTTTATAAACATACATGTATCACAAAAGTAGGATAACAACACTAAGTTACCTTTTTCTTTGAAGTGACACTGTGAGTAGTGAGGCCCAAATTAGAAAGAAGATGATGAATGTAAGATTGATCAACTTTGCCTTCCTTTTCAGAAAGGAAATGAGCTGGTTCTCCCCTTTAATCACAACTCCCTTTTTGATTTGAACTGTAGCACAACCAATAGCCCCATCTACGGGCATTTAGAAACCAGAGTCTTAGTTCTATTAGACAACTTGTCCAAGTCCTACTCAGTGAAGATAAGAGTGAAGATGACATTTATATATTTTGAGCAAATCTTATAAATAAGCAAATTTGATTACCAATTCAATCAACAGATCTACTTGGCCCATCCAGGTGAACGACCTTTCTATAGTCAGTATTAAGCCGTGGACTGGGATAAACTTGCAAAATTAGGATAAACTTAGCATTGGCTTTATTAATGACATGCTGTACGTTGGAGTAGTCATGCAGCATTACATATTTAGTCACCTCTGTTTTCTGTGAGACCAGTGCTGTTTCAAAGGCAAAGATCTCAAACAAACAAACCAACCAACCCCAAAGAGAAAGAGAATGAGCTTAGAGTATGCGGTTAAGGTTCTTAACCTCTTGCTGAATATCAA